GCAGCAGGAGCTCCTCTCTGTTGAGGATTTTGCGTATGCCTTTCCCACGCTCAGCCACCTAGACAGCCTTTTCTCCAACCTCGAAGAGGACGTCAAGTCCAGCCTCTCAATCACAGATGCAGCTTCCTCAGTTCCTGCAGTCGCCCTGCCAGCTCAGACCGCGCAAGCCCTGTCTATTGCAACCTACCGCCCAAACTCACGCCAGAAGCCGTTGAAACAATGCGGGACACCTTCATCCTCAATTATCCTGGTGTGCTGCTAGAACAGGACACGATGCCCTCCATACGCCTTCTTAGCATCGTTCACCACAGCCTTAAGCCTGGACAGCGTGTCAGATGGATACCCTGGCAACTACGCCTTAGCCAGAAGCAGTATCAGGAAGCCATGGAGGCCAAAGCCACCAAGCCTCTTAAGACGGAAGCCCAGCTTCTGTCTGCAGCCCTCTTCGATGACACCTGAGATGACGGTTCAGCGCGGAGAAGCCTTTCCGCAACGCGTGGGCACTCTGTGGAGCAGCCCACTTGCGCAACCTCAAAGCCTTTGACAAAAAGGTGGCCGAGCTGTGTCTCCAGCGCTTCGACCAGGACCTCGGCCTTCGCATCCTTAATATGCAGGAACTACTGGCCGCAGATCGCAAGATCTGGAACCTGATCTCAGAGCTCTACAGCCAGAACTGGAGCCTGGACGACGCCCTCTACGAGCTCACCAGTGTTAGAGGGGATCTCTCCAGCCGCCTCATCCCCGTGTGCAGAAGCCGCCTCGCCCTCAAACCCCTTCAAGGCCAGAAAGGTAAGGGCAGGGAAGCCCACGCCTCCGCCTCCAACAAAGCCTGATGACTGGCCCAAAAACTGGGTCACAGAGCTGAGGGGCAAGCAGGTATGCAGACGTTATAGCAGAGGGCTCTGTGCCAATCCGAACTGTAAGCCTTTCTGCGCATGTGCGCGGTGAAAGGGTGCCGCAATGAGCATCCAGCCTGCAAGCATGGCAAAGCCCACACCTGAAATAGTTTAGCCTCTCCACGTCTGGCAGAGAAGGTGGACAGACAGCCCGCCAGACGGTTTACAGGTGAACCTGCCCAGACCTCGCGCACCTCTTTTGTCTTGAGGAAGGGCCAACCGTGACAGCGCAATTCCAGCCTCCAGCGCCCTAGCCCAAGCGCGAATAGCTCGCGCCCACAGCCTCCGCCCAAAAAGGTGATGCCTCTGACTCAGAGGAAGAGCACAGCCATGGATCTCAGCGTCGACCTGGGCACGAGGCCAGTCAGCCCTTTGAGCACATCAGCTACGTTTGTATGCAGCTCCCAGACATCAAAAAAGCACGGGAAGCCCTGGCCGCCCGACTGCCCTGGAGCAAGACTCTTCCTGCGCGTCGCCAGTCACTGCAGCTGTCGCAGCCCTGGGCTTGGACCATTTTCAGCCCTTCGACCTGGATGCTGACTCAGCTTTCGATTCCGACGTGCTGGCAAAAGCCCAGGACTTTCCAAGGTCATACACGCAGGCGTCAACCCAGGCTACATTCTTGAGTGTGGGCATGGCGTCTGGCTCTAACCAAGCCATGCTGCCTGGGGGCTGCTTGACGGCGATGCCTCCTTTGCAGGCTACTGCCTTGAAGAGGTCTGGGCGCAGGGCTAGCGGGCCTCCTGATCCTGGGAGCAGCTTGAGGAGGCTGTGCTCTTTGCACGGGGGAGCAAACAGGGCTGAGCCTACAGTTCCCAACCAGACCAGCAGACTTGCAGGAGGAGCTCAAAGGTTGGATCACGCAGAATACGCTTCATAGGTTTCCAGTGCAGCCATGCTTACAGACATAGTCCATCAAAGCACAGCTCCTCTGCAGAGTGCCCTCCAGCCCTAGGCTCACCAGCCTAGGCCACAGAGCCCTGCCTCCTTTTTCAGCCTGAATCCCTGCCTAGACTTCCCAGACTCTCCCTCTCACAATAAAGCCCTCTCCATAATCTTAGACACTCTGGGCCTGCAGGATGCAGACCAGCCCCTTCAAGCTTTAGCCGCTCACATTGACGACAAGGACACAGCCCTAATTCCGATGTTAAGGGCTGGTCACCACAGGAGTCCATGAGCCCATACCCTCTAGCCTCCAGTGGCCTAAAAAGGTTCAGCCGCATGAAGAGTTCCTCCCCCTAATAAATGTGCGAAGGAAACTGGTCGGCCGCAGAGGCCAAACCCTCCATTGTTCAAGCCCTGATTGACAAAGATGTGGACTCAGGTTGGGTTCAGCGCATTACAGGAGTGGCCTTCAGCCACAGCCGTTGGTAAGCTCAACCTTGTAGAGGCTCCCGGCAAAGACCCACGACTGGTACAGCGCCATCTGCCAGGTTAATCCAAATTGCAGCCTGCTTGCCCGCTGTGTCTGATGTGTGCTTCTCTTTCCAGCCCTCGGGCCCGACTTCAAAGCGGCGCACAAACAGGCAGCTTGGCCCAGCAGCCGCACCGAGCCTGGCTCTACGTAGATGACCTCCTGGCAGCCCTCCTTCGGAGCAGCGGAGACTTGCAACTGGCCCTGCTTGTCGTTCGTTTAGTCTGCCTCAAGAGCCCCATCTCTTGGAAGAAAGCAGCCCTAGGTGACTCTCTTGTCTGGTGCGGCTGGAAGTTCAACTTCCGGTCCGAGACGGTGAGCCTTGAGCCGCAGACAAACTGAACAAGCTGGCAGAACAAACACAAGCCCTCCTCTCCGGCAAGAAGGACAACACTCCTAGCGAGGCCGGAGTTAACAAGCTCTTCTCCACAGCCTGGCCACTCAGCCTCTTTCTTCGCCTTGTGGCTTCCTGGTCACACGCTCATTCTGTAGCCTTACTTGTCTCCCACGTCTCAGGGAAGAAGAACGTTTGGGCGGACGAACTCAGCCGAGACAAGCTGGACAGGTTCCGCTCGAGGCCTCTAGCCCGCTTCAGATTCTCACTCAGGCAGCTGTGCCAGCCCGAAGGCATCACGCTGCGTCCCTCCAACGCAAGGTGGCGGGAGCATTTTGTAGACTCAGTGATCTGACCAGCTCCCTGAAGCGGACGCAAAACAGCCTTGTTTGCAACAAGCTGGTTTTCGCTCTTGTGCACTAGCCTTTCCAGCCTACAGAGCCTCGTGTTTCGCCGCTCAACACCCTGCCTCAGGCCACACCGCGACTGCAGTGAGCACAAAAGCCTTGCACAAGTGATCTCAGCCCGCCTGGCAGGTCCTTCTTTTCAGTTACTGAGGCATCCCTCTCTTACAGCCTTGGGTCGGCCGCAGCCTCAGCTTTAGTTCCCGCACAAGCAACCCTCACACGGAAAGGGGTTCTCGGGGCAGGGCCGCAGCCTCCCGCAGGGACAGGGTTGCTCTGAGTCACTAAAGAGGGGGTAGAACGAAAGGAGCTGCGGGCTTGAAGCCCCGAGCCCTTCAAGCCCTCCTTTTGCAGAACATTCAGAGCAACCCAGAGAAAAAGGAGTCGAGCCTTTTGCTTCTTCTAGTGGTAAGTGTTGGAGCTAGGAGCAGTGCAAGCCACAGAACACAACGGTTTGTCTTGCGTTTTATGCGCTTTAGAAATTAGAGCCAACTTCGTGCTGAGAGAGTGACTGATTCCGCATGTTATGCGGTCAAATCAAATGAGTATGAACATTTATTTTGAGGACTACATGGCTCCGGTTCCCGGGAAATTTGATGACAACTGAAATTTTTTCCACACGCTATGCCGTTCAGAACTATTTGCAACGTGAATACCAAACATAGAAAAACATTTCTACCAGCATCTACCGGCAACGTGTTGTTAAGGGCCTGTTCATCTTTAACCATGTATGTAAACAGGGTTTCTTCGCATTTTTTTCTGGTTAGGGTGGTTGAACTTGTTTTGGTTGCATATGTTTCCTTCCAACATGCTCATCTTGAAGGTTGTTATATTTGGCATGTTATATTGTGCTTTCTCATTTCGTCCCTGATTGGTCGATGTGATTCGCACAGCATCTGAATGGCATCATGCTCCAAATTTCCCAGACGTGACAACGTTCAGGACAGTCCCGCACTTTTTGTCGGATGCAACGCACGTTCGTTACGTAAGTTCGATAGACGCTACATTCAGGCGTTCGCCTGGGTTCCAGAGGTTCAGTTGTTGTTAAGTTGACGGTTTTTGGAAGTGCTAAAAGGTTGTTGCAAGTTGGTATCCCCAATGTACGCGGTGGGTGCCTGTCAAAGCGCGAGTTTCCAGCGTTGTTTGCAAGACAGGCTCATGTGCACAACATGGTTACGGTCAGGGTTGTCAAAGAGTCACGTGCAACGGCCACATCATTTGCAAAACAACGCCATGTCGGCAGCAATACATATTCCAATAATTACGTGTTCGTGGACAGTTGTTATTGCATTGGCACGCTGTGGCCAGCCAGCATCCGTGTGGTCAACGGCTCAATGCTTTGTTTTGCTTGGACATGTGACAGATCCATTCCTCGTTGTTTCTTGCGGTTGCAAGTTGAATGTCAGGCATTCCTGGTTACTAAGTTGCAGCTAGAATTGGCCATTCCGATCGCTTTCATCGCCTGAGGATGAGAAGCTTGGTGGTGTGCGCAAATTACAAGGAACATCGCGTACATGCTTGACCAGCCTACGGGTAAAAGTAAGCACAGAAATTTCATCGTGAAGGACCGGCGAAAAGTCTTCAGGTCAGCTTGCTCAAGCAGGCTGATTGTTCACGGTGTCATGCACAAAAACAAGTCTAATGTTGAACATGTGCAGGCTGTTGGCAGCGGGTGCTTTCCTGTGGGCCAGTCATGTTTCGCGAGTATGGTGCAACAAGCGTAACGGGGTGCCTCGTTTTCCATCAAACGATTGTTTGCCAGGACCTTTGCCGCGCAGGGCTGTCAGTTTACTGCTTGAAGCTCAGCAATGGTCTACATGAACAACTGGATGTTGCACTGTCGTATTTCAATGTCAACCCTGAAAAGGCCTGGCTTGGACAATGTTTGATCCTGAGACAACTCGCTGCATGGTCATGTGAATTTTTGTATGCACTTTCTCTTGGCAGCCGAGGCTGGCGCACTCATCCAGTTCAACGGTCTCGTGCAGGCTTGCTGACGCTTTTCATTGCAGGAGTCGATTGCCCTGAGTGGAGGTCTCCAAGCAACCCAGCTGGATGACTTGGATGGGGTTGTGCTCCATCCCTGGAATTGTTCTGCATGCTTCAGTATCTTGATGCAACTTGGAATGTCCGAGCACTTGGTGAAAGGCTTGTTCCGATGGATGAGGATGATGTCAGTATTGACGATATGAAGTTACTCGGAGCATTGGAGCTAGCCAGCAATGGCGGAGAGGACGTTGTGTTGCCAGGCCTCCGCCTTTGCCAGACCTTCAGGCAAGGACTAATGTGCGAAGATGATCTTGTTGATCTTTTGCCGGAGCTCATCAAGGTGCAAGACAAGCAGGAGGGTCCGCGAAAGCAGAGCCCTTGGCTGCCGAGAACGTGGCTCTGTGTTCTCATGGACTAAAAAGGTTTGGCCTGGGACCATTCAGCTTCTTTCGCTAAGGTGGCACTTTGGATTGGCTACTTTCCAATTTCAAAGCAGGAATGGCCTCACAAATTGGTTTTAAATTTGGGATTGGTCAATTTGGAACCAAATGTTGGGCCTACATCTCTAGCTTCATCCTAGCCTGACAAGCATTTCGGTCGCAAGCTTTGAAGTACAAAAATCTCCAAACGAAGGCTATTCACAGCGTAGGCTCAAATCTAACCTTTTTTTTCTTTGATGGCATCGTTTCAACCCATGTGCGACGCTGGCAGCTGTAGTTTATTGGCGGGGTGGTCCGAATCAATTTATCAATAATAATGCAGCAAATTTTCCCAGTTGTTCACAGTTGCATCCTTTTTGCAGTGCTGGTGGGCAGCTGAGACTGTTTCATTTGAATTTCACAAATCGCACACAATGGAGGTCCAAGACTTCCCGGATAAGCTGGCTTCTCAAAGGCTTCACAGAGGACTGAATCTTTGACCAAACGCATTCGCAGAAACAAACACTGTTCGGGGCCTTGCTTGCAACTTATCAGCTTTGTGAAGCCTCTACTGCAGAGACCACAAAGCAATCGGGACTCAAACTTTGCTAGAAAGCGTTTTGAGTACACGACATCATGCTCACAGAAGGCTTGAAGAGACAATGTAGGCGGGCTAACCGAGTAATCCAGCATGCGCTGTGACCTTGTAGTTCATTGATTTTGAAGACTCGTTCAAGCGCAACTTCGCTTATCTACATATGGTGCTAACCAACCCCTCGAGTAAGCCACTTTGGAGGATGAGCTGTGAGTCCAACACCCTGGTCTTAAAGCAGTCCTGTTCATTTTAGCGTTCTCCTCTTCAAAGATGGCCAGCTGCACCTGCCGTTCCCATGACCCTTGCATCCATTTGTCATGTGGCTTGTGTGGAAGATGTGGCTATGTTGGCTGGACAACACGTTCTGGAAGGACGTGCCAACATGAGAACCTGTGAGTGAGAGGGCGTGTTCTTTCACTAGTTTCCTGTTTGGCCCTCTCTTCGCTTTCTTTTTGCATGTTTTCTATAATGTCGCGGAACGAAAACGCGAAGCAAAACTTGAAGCACAACCACGCAGAGAGCCCTAAATCCAGGCTGATGTCGCAACTTGTCTTGATGAAGTTTGTTTCCTGGTCGTTTCAGGTTGAGCGTGGATGCGGGTGAGAGAAACTCAAAAACGCCGGAAATTCAGTTGTATGAGCCAGGGACGAAGAAACAAAAAGATCATAAATAGCCCACAGCACATTTTGCTTGAAAGATGCAATTTTTTTCTTTTCAACCTAAAGGTTCTGGGTCACGGAAGAACTTTTTGGAACGCTTGGTCTGATTCTTTAAAGACTTTCAGGCATGTGCAGGTGGGGCGCGCTGAGCACCTGAAACGCTCCAAGTATCAGGCAAAGACAGAGTCTCTGAAATGTGGTAGTTCCCCCCCCACCTAAAGGCTCACCCCAAATGTTGGACCCAGGCTCCATGCCAGATGCACGGTTGGACATGTCTCATTCTGCAGGATGGCTTTTGCTCGAGATGCGATTAGATATGCTTGGAACTTTCAACAGCAGGTTTGTTTGCATTCTGTCTGCTGCATCCAACAGGTTTGTAATTCTGGGGTGGATGGGTGGCCGGACCGGTGGGATGTTGGTACCGCCCGCTGGTGTGTTGATTTTGCTCCCCAGCCCTATAGAAAGCAAAAAAAGTGGTCCTTGAAGCTGTGAAGCTGACCGCCGGCAGCCTCTCAAACCCCACGGCCCTCACCCCAGATGAGCCAACTGGCGAAATGCACTCGTTATTCCTCAAAAAATCTACTTTGTCTCGCTTCCTGTGGAGCGTGCCTTTGCCGCCAGACATATTGAATTCATGCCCCAGAGACATGGCCGAAACTTGCCTCCCAACTCCCAGCCACTCTGCAGACATCTACCTATTTGCCGCACGACCCTTGAGAACAGTCTTCTGAATGGTTTTGATTCTCACCGGTGAACAAGTAACAGCTTAGAGAGGCTTCCAGAGTGAAAGCATCAATCGAATGCTGTAGAATTGTAAAACAACATAAAGCAACCATGTCGGTGGATCATACCATTTCAATTCTTCGTTGGGTGCTTCGAATGTGAACGTTCCTGAAACGTTTGCGAGAGCTACTTTCGAATGCCTTCAACTTGATGCCACTCTACTGGACATTAATCAGCTCCATGTGTCATGTATTCTGACTGCCTAACTTTCCATGGCCGCGCACGCTTCCCATGGCTCATTGAAGAAGCTGCTCGTGTTGATGATGTTGGGGCTCCCAAACAACATGCGAAACTGGTCAAAACGACGTAAACCTGCCTGCCTCCAAACCTTTGCAAGCCCTCCCAAGCTGCAATAGATCTGCCCCAACCAAGTTCTGTTCAACCCACCCAGTCGAATCAAACTCAACCCACCGGCTCATCCTAAAATCGAACGGCCAAAACCTCGCACAGGAAAAACCCAACTGAGAAGGCCTTTGATTGATCCTTCCGGTCCGCGGATTGGGGAAAGGGGCTGCAGCAATTCTGCTGCAAAAGCCTCCCGGCCAAGCTGAAAGCACAATCCCACGTCCATTTGAAAATACGCGAAATGCGTTTCTAATCTTAGAGCCGTTAGGAGCTCTTAAGGAAATGGGCTGCTATCCCATTCTCAGATAGAACCTTGGATTTGGACCTTGCTGCTCAGATGCACGACGAGACCCGTCTCTGTCTATGTCTTACGTATTTGTCCGAGAGAACGATGCTTCTGCTTGAGCCTTTGGGTGCATGCCTTTCACGAGCGTCAAAATTCTTGATGGGATACATTGGAACAGTGCAAGGTTTCCTGCGTTGGATGGCATGGGGTCCTCCTCTCCCAGGCAAGTTTGCTGGCAGCACGCGTTGTTGTTTTACATGCATTTGATGATCACATGGCCTGTTGGTCTGTTGTAAAGATGCCGCGCTTCGTCCTGCGCCTGACTAGGTTCACGATATGCTCATAGCAGTCAACAACAGACTCTCGTTGCCGAGCACGGTTCACAGGGTAGCTGAGAAGGATCCTTTGAGCCTGGTGGAAAGCGCAATGGCAGATGCAGATTGGGGTGGACACTCAGGGAGCCGTTTGGGCCTGGACATCGGCGGAACGCTTGCAAAGCTTGTGTTCTTTGAGTCAGAGATTCGCCCGTCCTGGTGTAATGGCCGATTTGCTGAAGTCATCAAGAGTCTGGGTAAATCAAAATCAGAAGCGCCAGCAAGTGATGACTGTGGTTTCAGCAGGCAGGGCTCCTTTTGGGGCGAGCAGGAGAATGAGCTGTCCTTCTACGATGAGGAGTTACAAGGATATTTCCATTTCTTGTGCTTTCGTTCTGAGCAGATGGAGCGGTTTGTTTCACTGTTGGCAGCCCAAGACCTGCATCATGACATTGACGAGATATTTACAACTGGAGGTGGTGCTTACAAGTACGCTACGCTCTTCTCGGAGTCTTTGGGCATTACTCTCAAGCCAGTGGATGAGCTAGGTGTTGTTGTGAAAGGCATCTCATGGTTGCTAAAGAGACCACTTTCGGATGAGGTTTGCTGGCTCGGCGAGGAAGACCGAGCGAACAAGTCTTTCGAGTCCGAATGTCACTTCATTGATTCTGGTGCGAGCCATTTGTTTCCTTTTATCCTGGTAAACATAGGGAGTGGAGTCAGCATTGTTCGTGTGGACGGCACGGACAAATTCGAGAGAGTCAGCGGAAGTGCGTTGGGTGGAGGCACATTTTGGGGTCTCTGTAATTTGCTGTGCCCAGATTGCAAAGACTTCTCCGAGGCCAGCTGCATGGCAGTTGATGGGGATTCGTCGTCATTAAACCTTACCGTGGAGGACATCTACGGAGGTGATTATGAGTTAGAAGGAGGACGTAAACTTCCTGGTAGTTTGGTTGCCTCATTTTTTGCAAAAGCTGGTCGTGGAGGAAACTTACCCGATGATGCAGCGCTTCTGCACGCTCTGATAACAATGATCTCGCAGAATATTTGCCAGATCGCCTTCTTGAATTCGCGGATTCATGGAGTGACAAGAATCGTTTTCACTGGAAACTTCCTTCGACAGAACCAAGTTGCCCGACAAGTAATCGCCACCAACATGCGGCGTGTCAGTGCTACATCTCAGCAGGGTCGACAATTGCAAGCACTGTTTCTGCAGCATGAAGGCTACTTCGGTGCCCTAGGCTCCTTTCTGCACAATGTGGAGGGAGATGTGAAGAAGGTTCCCACTTGTCAACGTCTGCCTACCTTTCTGGGCAAGCTGTCTGGCCGCACTCGGGGTACCTTGCAGACCACACATCACAACGCTTTCCGCAACGTGTTCCAGGATGCATGTCAGTGCTTGAAGCACTGCTTGGGCATCAAGAAGACCAAGCCTGTGAACACACGCGCAGACCCAAGCCTTGAGAAGTTTACAGCTGTACCTTTTCCAAAGGAATTTGGTCACAGGCCGATCCAACGAGAACATGCGGTTTGAGTGACATGTACAGAGACACATAGCTAGATAGCTCGATTGACTGTCACCCGTCCTCCATGGAATGGAGTAGAAGAGGAACAGTTGCCGGTCCGCCGCCCGAGGTGGATTGAATTTGTGTATACAACATGCCGTCTTAAAATCGGCAGGATGCATGATAGCCCAGGATGTTGGTCCTGAAGGATCCTACTGTGAGATGGAGGATGGTATTCCGGTCACCCGGACCGATGTCAATCCCCACAGCATGCTGCAAAGGCAAAGCCTTTGAGGCTTTATACTCTGACTACAGCATCCAGAGAAAACACAATAGATCTGCTTCAACTATCCCGGCCTTTTTTTGGCATGATAACCCGTGTATAGGAACAATGGCAGCTATGCCTGTTTCTCTTTGCAAGAGCAGCCAGATCACACCAGCGATCTTTCTGGAATCTCCATCAGTCCCTGCAGGATTGCCAAGATGCCGAATGCTGAGGCAAGCGTTGTTGACTTACACTGCTTCTCTGCTAAGCCAGAAGTATGGGGCAATGGAGAGAATTGTATTGAACATTTCGAAGGTTTATCCAAGTGTAAACCATGATCGTGTGGAGTGTCTGCATGGATGAGTGTGGGTAGCTTTTCTTCAGCTTATCTCGCGGCAACGAAATCCACCAGCTCTGTTGACATCCTCCAGCTTGGGGGCTGGATTAGAGGATAGCAAGCCGCCCAGGCTCAATCTTAAGTACCCAAGAGGTGGTGCACAAATCTCACAAATGTCCAGCATTTTCACCTTCCTGGTCCGCATCGGCCGTTTGGAGTTTGAGAGGGGATGCAGAGGAGCCTGCGATCCAAGCTTGAGCTCGGTGGCAACCACAATCTCATCAACATGAACAGGGACGTTAAGCCCGGTCCCAGCTGCGAGAGCCGCGGTGACAATGAGTGCTTCAGCAGAGGACTGGTGGAGAAGCAGCTGAAGCATGACAGGCTATGCCAACGGACTTGGTACTCCATGCTGGGCCCAAACAGAACATGCCAAAATGCAACAAAAAAGAGTTTGGAGCTCCACAGAACATCGCGTTTTGCACTTTGCAGGAGTAATTGCTTCCATTACAGCTGTCGCATAAGTGGAGCTGCGCCCGGTTTGAAGCAGCTCTTGCGAAACTTCTTTCCTCGAAGGCTTTATGATTCTGCCACCTTACATCAGATTACACTGACTCTGCGCCATAGTTTCACAGGACCATCAGATAGGTTTGTTGTTTCTTGTTTCAAGCATGTTCAAACTGCTCAAAGTCTTCGAATTACTAGTAAGAATCTGCAATCCAGCATGTGTTTTGACTTGCTGCAGGGGCTTGAAGATGGAAAGCGTTCGTTGACTGGAGAAGTTATCGCTACTCCTGGGATGGAGTTGTCACTGCGGGTGGCCCAGCATCACTGCAAGCAGGGTCGCATGATGCAGGGAAATGCAGGGTTGCCAGTTGTTAGCCACCTTGGAAGCGAGCATGTTTATGTCAGAGGTGGGTCTTTCAGCATGGGGCCAATCAAAGCAGAGAAAAAGCAAAACAACGCATGCCTATGGTGGTATCCCAACATTGCTTTCACAGCAAAACTACACCTCTCGAGCCAATGCGGGATCAAACCATTTTACTGTTGAAAAGAAATCGCAATAAGAACTCCTACTTACTAGAGAGAGGTCCGCAAGTGCTTGATGGCTATCCAAGACCTGATGGGAATATGTATCGTGAAATCCCTTTCAATGGCACTGGATGAAAGAAATGATGCTCATTGGAAGCTGATGGCTCTCATTGAGCCCAGCGACGAAATGAACAACGTCTAGTAGGTGCATCTTATGTTGCTTACAGTGAGGGGTCTCGTTTTGCCTTCAACCTAGACATGGGAAGCAACCCAAATTCTTCGTCATGCCCGGCAACGTCATCTTGATCCAGCATTACCCCATTTAGGTCTCATCGGTGGACCACCAAAATTGCTAGCTCCAGTTGTCCCGCCAAAAAGGCAATTTGTTGATGAATTTGATGCTCTAGCGCTGTTAGCGAGTCAACATGATCATCAGTGACACGCTGAAACTGCAGCGCAGCCTCAACACATCCCCATAGAGCAGTGTTCTCGCAACGCGCATAGCATACAGTAAAAACAGGAAAAAACATAAGCAAAGGAGGAAATCCACAATTCCAGCGAAATCTTTTCGCGGTTCTTATTAATGAAGTAAATCAACATGAAAACTCGAAAGATCTAGGAAGCCAAGCCGCATTATTTTTATGGAAGCTCCTTCATGTGAGCTTCTTTTGAACAGTTGTGAAAAGCCCAGAAAATCGAGGACCTAGGAAACCAAGACAAGAGAATCTACAGTTCTGATTGAACACAAATCATTTCATAGTATTGTACACAAAAATGAAAATCCACAAGATCACGGACCTTCTAAGCCCTTATGACATCTTGTTGAAATTCATGGATACAAATTTCGTTTCTTAAAACCATTACGAACAACAAACCCAAGAAATCAAAGAATGTCGTAAATGTACTAACTTCTTCGATGTTTCCTATAACGGGTTCCTTTCTAATAGTATGAACCACCCCCTAAGAAGTAAATATACCCCCGAATATGAATTTTGGTTAAGGGTTAGAAGGTAGGTGTCTTTTGATTAGAGCTATGAAATTGCTCAGTCGCTTTTGGTCTCAGAGTCTTCGATTGAGCTTAAGGTTTTAGGTTTGAGATAGTTTTTAGTGTTGATGGTCGGCACTTTCAGGTTCCGCCAGCTTTAGCCGTGAATGTATGCTAGCATTGGATATGTTTTTGGGTACGCTGATACTTAAGCAAATTCTCAAACCATTCTAAGCTGCAGGGTCTACAGTTTCTACATGTAGGGTGTGCATCTTAGGGATTGGAGTCAGGATTAAATTTTAGTGTTGCCGGTTGGAGTTTGGGGGTTGCAGGTTCAAGTTCCAAGTGCATCCCTAAAACAAAAAACAGATTGAATATGTTGCTGCATAACCCGTCAATTCAATTGTTAGGGTTATAAGATTGCACATTCAGCTTTGGGTTTGCAGTGACCAGGCCGGTGGTAAGATGCAGCCAGTCTTCTCAGCGAAGCAACGCTCTTTTGAGCACAAAAAATAGCCTTCAGGTGCAACATCCTTGCGTTATACTCACGAAGTCCCTCTAAGAAGTTGCCGTCTCTGGCCTGCACATGTGAATCTGGATTAGCGCTCCCCCTGCCAGACTCAAGGCTTCCAGTGGGGAATCACTTGATCTTACAACGCACTGTACACAAGCGCCTGTCGACAAACTCTTGACTCACATAAAGAGTTTTACACTCCTTAGTGGCGTGAGCACAAGTTCCATTCGGAGTCATATGCACTTTGCTCAGCACTGAGCCCTTTCTGTCTTTGACTGGGTCAGGAACCGCCATCTGCCCGCCCAATGCAAGCTCTTCGTTCCCAAGAGCCTCCGTCTCAGGAAGCAAAGCAATGATCATCGTCATGGCCAGCATATGCTTCACCTTTTGGGGTGAAGTACTCGAAGTAGACTGCGCAGAAACTGGTCGATGAAGGCCCATCAACTGCATCAAATGTCGAACCCGATCAGCAGGCACTCCCTTGGTCCCAAGATCTGCCAGCATGAGCTGCCCTTCCAGGTGGTATCCAGCCCAGTCGGGTCCGTCCAGGAGCTCTCTGAGCATGCTTCCGCGGATCCTCAAGTGACGTGTCTTCCAACTGCCGGCCGAGATCTGGCAGGCAGCTATCGCTTGAAGTCGCTGGCTGGTCCACGCTGCCCTCGTCGGCGGCGACGAACTTGGAGGTAGGAGGAGCTGGAACATCATCGAGTCCCGTGATGTCGGCTCGCCGATCGAGGAGGTCCTGGATGTAGCTGTCCTGATGGATCTCCAGGCCGTTTTAAATCGCCCGAATTTCAAACTCATTGAAATTTCACCTCTCCAGTTGCTGATGCCCGCTGCGACTCCGAACAACGCCAATTTCTCCATGAACATACGGCTGACCTCCCTTGGGAAGTGTCAGCCTCATCTCCGCCTGCCGTGCCCTTGTTCGGCAGCAGCGCGATGTACCAAATGGACTCGTCGGAGCGGCTTTGGCGAAAGCAGATGATCTTTCCACGAAGTCGGCCCCGCGTCAACCTCATCGTGGTGTCTCGATAAGTGCTCCGCGATCTTGGTGATGTACACAACCCGTACATTGCGCGATCGACTCGCCAGTACTTCTCCTCACAGATGTGGGCGACGTTGAACACCTGTGGCGCATGCGCTATCGTCTGTCTGGCTTCTCGGTAAAGGAGCGGCGCCAAGAGAAAGGCCGTTCTGATGTCCAACGCGCCTAGATCCCAGGAGCGTTTGGCGCAAAGCCGTAGGCAGCATCTAACCAGCGCCCTATCGGCGCCGGAAGCAAATTTCTCCGCCTTCGAGTAGGAATCCGCAATGTAATTCCCACGGACCACGGACCTGGCTTTGAGTCGGCCTGTGAATGCTGTAACGGAGTGCGCCGCTTTTCCAGGCACCAGGTCATGTTCAATATTCCCGACCTTCGCGATCCCAGGCGTCCAACTCTGGTGAGAAAAGCGCGTGACTGCCTGGTTTTCCAGGGTCAGGCTCTGGTACCTCCGCCCGAACCACTTCCAACGCCACCGTTTTTGTATGCAACGCACCCTCTCCAAAAGACGCGGTGTCCAATTTCCTGATCCGTCCTTCATGTACTTGGCCATCCTCGTCGTGGAGAACCTCCACAAACTCCAACACCGCCTCGATCCCCTTGCCAGTCATCCGTCTCAATCGACCTGCCGTGCCAGCGTCCTCGCCATCGTCGATCTCCAAGGCCAAGGCATCCCGCTCCTCGTTGTCCATGACTAGAAGATGAAGCTGACTCTTTCGAAGACTGTCCATCACGCCTTCACTTCCAATTCCCAACGGCTCCTCAGAGGCAACCAACGTCCACTCCATGGTCTCCTCCTCAGGGTCGTCCGCTGAACTTGCCGACGTCGGAGAAACCGAAGGCCCCCGCGCAGCTGCAAAGAGCATCGCCATCTACCTGGAATCCAGTCACCTCCTGAACCCCTTGGGAGAACGCTAACGTGAATTGCGCCATGACCTTCCTCGCGGCCATCTTTGCAGCCTTCATTGTCCGGAGCGCTCTCACCGCAGACGTACTCCCAACTCCCAACCTGATCTCCTCCCCCGGGACCAGCGCGATCGTGACCTCCATACCCTCCCCCAGGACCAGCAGCGCGATCATGAGCTCCATGCTCTCCCCCGGGGCCAGACATCTCACCCTCGCCCTCAGAGGACTTCGCAAAGTCCCCGATATAGAAGCGCTGCGGACAGCCGCCTTGACACACGCAAAGAGACGCATCCACTTCGTATCCTCGACAACATCTTTTTTAAAGTCCTTTGACAAGTTCAGCTCCAACTGCCTTGCTCGATGTCCGCTGCGGTGTTGACCGTCACCGGCCCGAACTGGACCTGAAGAGAAAGCAGAGCACGGTGCACCTGGCTTTTCACGATTGACAAGGTTTTCAAAGTTTGCCTTGCTCTTGCTGTCCTCATCACTGTCTCCTCCTTTCGAGCATGGCTCGAACATTTGGCGCCTGTGGCGAAGGAAAGCCCAGTTGCTTCAGCTGTTGGCGGTGTGCCGGATCAGCGTGTTGATGACGACCTACGATGTGTGCGGAGACCCCTGCTCGATATCCTTGCCATGCCGCTAGACCGTGAGGTTGGCCTGGAGGGAAGGCTGCAGGTTGATGGTAAACATTTTTGAACTCGTCCACACTTCGCCTGGCTTCAGGGCAGTCCATAACTCTCTTCCTACATAGTCCCCCGCGCCCAAGACGGTGGAGTCGGAGTGTGCTGCCAGAGGCGTATTGAAATTGAGGCTGAGAGTGGTGACGCCATCATGTCGGAGTTCGCCAAAGGTGTGGACTGCCGCCGGCGCTGGTGACAGGGTGGTCCAGGGTCGCGCTGGCCTCGTTTGGTCTCGTAGTCGCAGTTGACAAACAAAGTCTTCGAGAGCCTGGACAGAAAAGTCACCCTTGTCTAGGAACCGCTGGGCCATGAACTCATCTTCGCTGCCGCCAGCAACTCCAGTGAAGCCAGCGGCTGTTTACCGCGAAGTCGTCTCTCCGGAATCAAACCTTCTGGACCAGCGTGGGGCTCTGGAACCTCAAAGGCGCCACTAACACTCGTGCCGCTACCGCAGTCGTTCTTCCCACTGATTGTACCTTCCTACCCAGCCAGGATCTTCTCTGCGCAAACACCGTCGTCCCAAACGGCGGCAACTTTGGTTGTTTCATCCCGTGCTGTCCCATGATCTCTCCTTGCGCCCGAGACACGAAGTGTCTCATCGCAAACGGCCAGGCAGTAGTCGGCATCTCTGATGCAGTCGACAACGTTTGCGTAGCGGCCTTTAGGCGACCCGTGCAAGTTTCCGTCCTTCCGTTTTGACGAAAATCCTCGGCAGTGGCTGTGGTGCGAATGATGTTCCGACGCAGGCAAAACTTCTTGAATGCGGTGTTGCAGAACTCGCGGCCGCGGTCCGAGTGGATGCGCCTCACACAAAGTCCCAAAGCCTTGATTTGACCAGCGTGTCACAGATGCCCTGCAGGACCTCAGGAGCTGACTTATTGGGCAAGGGGATCATGAAGGGAACTTCAACCGCAGTGTTGTTCCCCTTGACGATCTCCTCCCACTTCTCCTCGTCGCGCTCGCCCTCCGCGTCCGCTGCCTCTGGCTCTCCTTCGCTGTCGCCGTCCGCCCCATCAACGGCAAAGGGATCATCGTTGGGAGGCTCAGGGGGCACGTCGTTATCCTGAAGATGGGATCGAAGGTTACCAACAATGTCCTTAACAACCAACACCCCGATGAGAGCATACCTTGTCCTTCTCCTCTGAATCTCTTTCCTTTACGGGGCCCACGCAGTCCAAAGACAGGGTCCATCCATCCGGAACGGCCACATGCCGATGTTGATGACCACGAAAGTGTCCAGCTAGGCTTGCCCGAGAATCTCGGCGATGTGGAATATCGTCTCGCCGTAGATGATCCACAAGGCCCTTGTCAAGCTTCCTGAGCATGGCCGACGCAATTCCCAACGCAAGAGAATCCATCATGACCTCTTTAATCGTAGCCTTCAAACTTCAAACCTGGCGCGCGCGCCGCCCATTTGGAAGAGCGAAAACCGGTCCTCGCTCGCCGTCCCGCGCTGTCCTGCTCCTCTGCCTCAGGGCCCGGAGTACCTGGCCCTCTCTATCCTGTAGCCACTCTGGGATCGCAACATGGGTCAACCAGGTTGTGGGCTTCCGTCTACAGCGCCCAAGGAGGCCTTGACCCAAGCCGATCTCCGGCCACTCCCACTACGCACTTTGTAGGATAGGAATCCTCCAGGTCCTTCAGGAAGGTCTGAGGATCCGACGGGTGCTCCGTGAGGTACTTTGGCGTTGGCGATCCATGCAGTCAAGCACTCACCGCCGCCAACAAGTAGAGCCAGATCATCCGACGCCGCAGCCTTCCAGTGCGAAGCGTTGTGGCCCATATCGCGCTCTCAAAGGGCGAGGACCTCCGCCAGGAACGTTCATCATATGAAGTGCTTCATCACCGTAACGGTGCGAGAAGGCAGTCCTCAAGACAGGAAAGATCACTTGCCGCTGCAAGCCAAGTGCTCCAGGGCGGCAAACGTGTGTCCTCTGCCTGGTCCACCGTAACCACATGTTGATGGTCGTTGGCCGTTTGCCAATAGGTCCTTTCCACAGAAAAGGTGCACATGCTTTCCCTGCGATTCCACGGAACTTGGTTGTCATCCACACTCGCCTTCGCTGGAATGGCTGCCAATAACCAATGAGTAGCTTCAGGGCCCTCGTACAAGTAGACCCGGATCTGGAATGACTACACTGAAATCCTTGCCTCGCCTAAGCAAACCAATCCACTTTCTTGCCAGTGTGACTCCGCTGTCCATCCTGCTAGCAATCTCGGGAGTGGTAAGGAACTGCTGAAGACAGTGCTTCTCGCCCGCTCCCCCGGGCTGATGTGAACACAGTGTGACGAAGAGCATGCCTTTGACGCTCGTGGCTCGGGCGCTGACAGCTTCCGATCTGAGCTCATCGGGCAGGCGCTCAAGCAGTAACATTGCAGACCTCTGCTCGACTCTATGGAACTGATCATGAGGAGGATGCTCGGCCAACAACTGATGTCGAATGTTCAACCGCGCAATCGGAGAACTCTCAAGCCATGAGGAGTACGTGCTCATGACTGAATCCAACAAGGCCTTCCACCATGCAGCTGTTTCTGTCGAAAGGAAGCCACGCTTGGAGTTAACTGCGCCAACCAATCTCCTGCCATTACTGCTGCGTCGCCTCCAGCTGTTCCCCTCATGGACGCTCGGGCCGGAAGCTTGCTAACGAGCTTAGAAGGTTTCTCCGTGACCTCGATTCTTCCAGGACAAGCTGCAGGCACTGGCGTCCCACCTGGAGTCCTGCTTGACGTGGTGTCCTTTCCATACGCCATTGTCCTCGAAGTTGCTCTTGGCGTGGGCGGACTAGGAGGAGGAGGATATACTGGTGGTCCTGATGGATGTGGGATGTCGTCCGGCTTCAGAAAGTGCTCTTGTGGTTGCTTGTCCAGGATTCCCGACAAAGAGCAAGCGTCCCACACTTCAGGCACAAGCAAACCTCTGACCCTCGATGTTGACAAAGCCATGGTGTCCATCCCCCAACTGGTATTCTCCCTTGATCTCCCTGACAGTCCGAAGCCCTTAAAACATTCCGCTGAACCCCACAGCGATCTGCGTGCGATGCATATCTAATGCGTGGCCCTGGCAAAGGAGTAGACGGAGCCTGTGGAACGCCTGGGCCACATCCAAGTTCTCCATGATCCCGAGCAGGTGGTTGGGGATTTAGTAGAGGACCGTTAGAGGCTGAGTCGGCCATTCCATAAGGTAGCGTAGGCAACATTCCCAGAGCTATTGAATTCGAACTCCACAGCAATGAGCCAAGAGAGCCTAACCCTGTCATAGACATGCACGATCCCTGAGTAGTCAAGGCCCCTCCCGTTATAGGCTGACACATCCCCGACTGTTCTGAGAAGATCCCATTGGCGTACCCGTGTACGGAGAACTTCCATGAAAAGCCTGAACATTTCCAAGCTTTTGGCGTTCCAGAGGAAAAAAGCACCCCAACGAAAATGGAGGAACTGGCAGCAACTCTTTCAAAGGATCATTGGCCCTCTGCGGCAATGGAGTCGACGAAGTCTGGGGAACGTTTCCTGTTCCAAGTGCTCCATCATTCACCCAAAGTTGCTGCGGAGGTCCCGCAACGGCAACCCTCCAGGGATAGCGCGCCTCGCCTCTGCTGCTCGCTTTCGAGCAGTAGAGCCATCATCGCTGCTGAAGGTTCCTGCCATAACCTTCTCCAGTGAAGCCAGCGGCCTTTTGAAGCCAGGCCGTTCCAGCACCCTTCTTACAGGATTTGCAGTCAAACTCATCTGCGCCAGCTGGCCTTCCAGTCCATCCGATGTAGGAGTCCCGGATTGGTTGGAACTCCTCTGCTGTTCCAAACTTGCCATTCTCCCAAGCAGGGAGGCCAGCACGTTGTTCATTGCATCCAGCGATCTCGCAACATACGAGTCTCCAGTATTCATCTGGCCTCCCGCTGCATGTGCTTGCTCCTGGGCTCACCCAAGGGGAACATCTCCGAAGAAACCTGGTGAAAGATCCGTAACTTCCGCAACTCGGTTGTCATGTTGATTTTCGGCACTTCCAGGTTGCCCCTCCGCAGGTCCTAGTTGCCTCGCAAAAGCCCCTGTCTCATTTCCTCATACCCATCATGTCCAGTCACCTCCAAGCGCTCTGCCGATGTCTCTGCTGCTCTCTCCTCATGAGAAGTCTCACACAAAGTAACCAGTCGGGCTTCTGGATCCGGATCACATTCTGGACTGGAGATTGTGGCATAAGTCGGGTGCACGTCAAAGTCGTCGACCCGAACCTCGTGTTTGTGGCTACTGCCTCGCAGAAAACTTCTCACCAAGAGATCTCGGGCTTCTACGCCGAAGGGGGTCATTGGCCACCTTTACACTGCCACGCTCCTTTCACGGCAGCGTTGGGCTCATAGCCTCTCAGCACAGCAATGTTTTTTTGAGCACAAAAAATTAGCCTTCAGGTGCAACGTCCTTGCGTTAGACTCGCAAAGTACCGCTAAGAAGTTGCCGTCTCTGGCATGCACATGTGAATCTAGACTAGCGGTTAGGGTTATAAGATTTCACATTCAGTTTCGGGTTTGCAGTGACCAGGCCAGTGGTAGGCAGCCAGTCGGGCGCGCGCATCGTTGACACATTCAGTGAGTTTGGTTGAGAACAAACCAGTTTGTCAGTTCATTCAGCCATGGCATGTCAGGGGGATTACTTCACATGATCATAAAGCGCATCCTTTCATGGGATATGTATTCTTTCCAGTGACTGTTCGGCGCTGGAAGTTCTGATGAATCAGTGACTCAGGTCTTGTAATGGTTTACAGCCTAGTGTTCTAGGTGTTGGGGGCTCCCTGCTCCATGTTTGGGTTCATAGTTCAATTACAAATAAAGCAAAAGAGGTTTCCCCAAAAATCATTACCAGAAAAAACATTGTTCAATTTCAGATGCCCGTTAATTTATCCCGAGCATTTATTGTTCGTATGTCGTTAGCCTGTGCAAAAGGATTACCTGATTATTAATGCGATGTTACCTGTGCAAACCAGCAGGGGAGAAGAATGACGTCCTTGTCTTCATGCACTAAGGCCGAAGAGCACAGCCAAAGCTGGCAAGAACAAGCGCTGGCTGAAAGGCATGAGCCATGTCACATTTTATGTGTAAGGCTTTGAGTACATGTGTCCGTGCCTGATGGGTTTTGCATCTACTACCAACTTTGTTGCTGAGAGATACACTTGCTGTAGTCTGTTTTACTGCTAGGAACTGTGACACTGTTGGCCGCAGCAAAAGTCTCCTCCTACGACATGCATAGATATATATGTGTGTATATACGCTTGAGCACAGCCCGCAAGTTGCAATCTGTGATCCCCAGATGGACAGTTGATGGCACAACAAGGGCTTTGCCCTGTTACCTCGGCATTGCACGGTGCTTCATTTGCCAATGCAGAGCTTTGAAACAGTTGGAACCTACGGCCTTGGGTACAAGACAGTTCCCACAACGCAACGGGACGTGAAACCACCAACCTTTCAGAGCCAGGCTCCCTCGATGTTTAATACAGTTTGTTTGCCGCCTGGCACACGTGAGACTTTTGTCAACTGACTTCGTGATACTTTGTGCCTGGTTTTCAGTTATTGGAGTCCATCACCTCTCACTACCTCTTTCGCATGCTGCGCTTTTTCAATCTTCCTGCATGAACTTCAATAGAATTGTTTGGCAGGTCGAGGTGCAACCAAGCGACGGAAGTTGGAGGAAAACTCCCGATTAGAAAAGTGGCTGGCCTGAACCTCGGTCCTGATTTTCAAGCGGGAGATTTCAACACGTCGTCCACTTTGAGGAACAGAATGGCGTCTGGCTGTCTGAGACAGCATCTTGGGGCCAACCCGTGCCTCGACCAGTTTTGACGACTGCCTTGGCCTTGGGTAGGAAGTCTGGTAAGTCTGGTCCAGGCTGCAGGTGTGTCAATGGCTGTAGAGACGCGGGAGCAAACCGAGAACGAGGTCTCAGGCGCAGCTGCTGAGTTTTTTTTGTTCGCAGAGTCCGGTCGCCTCCCAGCAGACAGGCCGCGGTTTGGTCGCTCGCCGTGCCGGCAGCCTAGAGCTGAAGCAGCCAAAAGCTTTAAGAGAGTCATATGACTTGAGATTGGGCATTGATGCATTCAAGGATATTGAACAGTACGAGGATTTGGCACGGGTTCCGCCAGCTGCTCAGGACAGACATCTCATCTCAGACAGTTGGACCAAAACAGTATGTTAGCAAGTGTTTGCCCAAGGCAGAAGCTTCTCTTGACCAAGGCAGGTGTCGTGTTATGCAGGTTCTTTGCTTCCGCGAATGCCCCTCAACGAAGGAGCAGTCTCGCGAAATCTTTGGTGAAGAATGCATCTCTTCAAGCATGAGCTTCGGCCTGAGGAGGAAGTCGAGGGTCTGAGCATTCTTCTGCTGTTCTTGCTGTGTAGCGTGTTGACTACCTTGCCAATTGCAGGGCATTGGCACATGCCTGCTTATGCAAGGTGAGTACCCTGCTATCGCACTGCAGCTGATTCACGAGAAGTTTGTAATGAAGGAAAAGGGAGGGAAGAGTAGCCTGCCACATGGCGCCTTCTTGTCTGCAAGGAAGAATCTTTCTGGGCACCCTACATATCTGTGCTGCCCTCTACTGAAGAGTCAATTACTCAGGAGGATCTGTTCCAGATTGGCAATCAGTGCAGTAGTTTTGCTCTGAAGGATAGGGGCCTCCTTCTCCTGGCCAGATGAGGCATCGCTTGTAATTTCTGTGTCCCAATTCCTAGCAGTAGCTTGCTTTTTGAATTTTTGGACGTGCAGAGCCGGTCTCTGAACGCAACTGATAGTGGAGAGTCAAGGCGTTAAGGGTTCATGTGGAACTCCGGCGAGGGGTCTCTTGGCCTTCTGCATGCAGGCAGAGAGAGAAAAAGGGTTCCCAGGTGAAGGCTAAGGTTAGTATGTCCTTCGCTTGCAACCGCTGGCACAAAAGTCTGCAAGAGAAGAAGAACACGTAAATCAGGCCCAATCAGGCTGAGTTCTGACAGATTCATCAAAGCCTTGCAAACTAACATCCTTTTGTTTCAAGAAGTTGAACTGGCTTCTGCGGCAATGAAACAGAGAGATCAAACCAGAAGTCTCCCCACAGACAGCAACACACATGAAACTGTTTGTGTTGTCTGCGGAGCGATGTAGCGCATGTGAGGCTGTTGACCGTGCTTTAATGTGTGGTTTAACTCGTGGAGAGTGCAAATGCGCTTCTGAGGCTTGCGAGAGGTGTTCGGTTTCCAAGATGCAGTTGCGGCTCAAAGTTTTTGCATGCGACAGTTTGTGAGTTTTGCTGGAAAACAGGGTGTCCAATACCTGCAGACAGACTAAACACAAAGGCCGTGAGCCCTTCAGCTGTCAAGGCAGAAAATGCTGGCAGCAAGGTACCTGAGTTTTTTTTTTTTTTCCGGCTGGGTAACAGTGCGAGTTCCTTGGAGCTGCTCCTGGTGTCACTTCTCATCACTTCCCCATGCCCTGTGCCCCCAGTGCCCAACACGCCTCGGCCGGGACGAACAGCAGATCCACAGACAGCTTCCATCCGGGCCTGTTCAGCTCCTGTTAAATTCTGGGACCGGGACACCCTAAGCTGGACATGACAGGGTATGACAAAGTCGGACATTTCTTAGAAGCCCCAACCAACCCACCCTGTATTGATTTCTACAGCCTGCCGCCATTCCAGTGTGTCCGGGCTTTGTCCCGCAATCGGTTGTTTTTGTCGGCGCCTACAAACCTAATACACAAAGAATCCAAGCCGCATCAAACCCCAACATCCTTATCCAAAAAGTTCGCGCTCCTGTTGAAGTCAGGATTTATGAAGCTTACAGCATGCCAGTACTTACTTTGTTCATAGCGTCTTTAGCAATGGCAGATCGGCGTTTCGCCAAAATTGTTGTTTGATGCTACAGATACCTCCGCAGGTCAATTTGGCCGTTTGGATGAGGTAGGTTCACCTGTTATCCTACACCATCTTCAACAACCAATCCTTTATGTGCAGTTCAAACGATTATTGCAATGCTTGACTATTATCCGATGATCCACTGCATCACGATACTTTCTCCGAAGGATAGAAAGATGGCGCAGGAAGTTAGAAGAACTCTTTAACAGTTCTAGAACATCTATGGAAGCCTTTCACCAGCAAATAAGGTGGGACCCCAACTGCTTACAACACTCCTGTAAGAACTTTTCCAGGCTTACTGCAGTATATCCGCAAATATCAGGGCCATTCCTCAGAGCCTATCCGATAACCCTCAAAGACAACCCACCCTTACCAGGATAGCCCTGAAAATCCCAACCTCGAACGCTAGAAGCTCAACCACCCATCCTCAAGACCCTATCCTTCACCCGCAAACCCACAGCCCTTGACCCTCAAGACCCCCGCCTCCAGCGCACAGACCCTCACCACAAAGGCCCCCTAAACTTAAGAAGTTTCGTAAAAACCAGCATCCAGACCCCAAAAACCCCACCTCATAGCTCTGCCTGAAAACTGAACCCTTAGCACCCTCCCTACCTATGAGTCTCAAAATCCGAAAGCCCCCGCATCCAAGCCCTAGCCCTAAACACCTCAGCTCTCAAGAGCCCTAAGCTCGAGCCCTGGCAACTCTAACCCCCAACCTTCAAAAGCCACATTCAAAAGCTTGAACCCCAACCTGAAGCACTTCACCCTTGAAGCATCTTGAACCTGTTGAAACTCGAACGCCCAACCAAATAAATTCCATCTCTAACCATTAAATCCAAATCGGAATGGGACCACAACCCTTGTAGAGGAATTTCCATCTTATGGGCACTGAGATTTTCCCCTGACCATCCCTCGATGCGCGCTCGCACGCCGCGCGCACCGCCGGAACAAAAAAAAACATACAATCTCCAGCACCCAAAGCAAAATTCCTGACCCCTTCCCCAAAAACTTTTATCCCCAAGTTCAGACACGTATACAAAAACATAGCCCTTCACCCTGAAAAAACCCTCAAGCCTCACAATGATCCCAACCTGACCCGAAAAACCCTATCCTCTAACGCCTAAGACTCCCTGACTCCCTAAGACCCCAAACTTAGACCCATGCAACTAATCCCTAGACCACATCATGACATGCCTTGTCCAAGCGTAAACCGAACCCTGGCTCAAAAACTCAAAAGAAACTCTGGCGCTGAGCTCTACTAAGCACTAAATTTGAATCAGGGAAGTCAGACAGACCTTAAGCCCTAACTCGAGATTGTCCAGGCCTTGGTCCGGGCTGCTTCTAGCTTGAAAATTTCTCCTGACCCTCAAATCCGATCCCTACCCGCAGCCCTCGAACAAAACCTTCGGGACTTCTGATCCTAAAAATATTATCTTGAAACCGATTGCCCCCACTACCGCATCCGAAGCGGTTAGCTCGACTGACATGGTGAACATTCAACCCGGGGGGGGGGGGGGGCGGATGCGTACAGGGCGACACGAAACCTGGACGTTCCTTGGTTGTCAGCAACGAAAGCAGAGGTTCTAAGTGCATGCGGCTAAAGAAGCGACTGCAGAAGCGGCTGCAGAAAGCGACAACAAATGGCAGCTGAAGAGGCATTTGAGCAGCTTGTGACCACAGGGCTATGTTTTTGGTGAGGATGCCGAAAAAGAATGTCTGCATTGTTGTCCTCGTAGGGGACATTCCCCTCATGGATATAGACAGCTCATCTCCTTCTAGGCCGAGGAGCAGGCAGACATGGAGCCTGAACTGGTCCAAGAAGGTGCTCCAGCGATTCAGTTGGCCCCTGTAAAGCAGCTCGATGAGCTAGTTTTGCCAGAAGATGTTGACGGCGTCCTGAATTCGATGCGTCCTCAAGAATGGTAAAGGCGCTGGAAGCGTGGCGATATTGACAATGCCATGGTGCTCAAAAGGGGGTCTGCAGATCCATGAGGTGTTCAAAGTGAACAAGGCTGTTGAGGAAAAGGAAGAGCTCCTTGCATTGCATGAGGGGCGCAATGGAAGGCTGGCTTAAAAAGAAAGAACCTCTAGCTGGGGTTGGGATGATGGGTTGTGTGCTGGCTGGTGGTTGGCGCTTGGAACGGCAACGGAGAATGAGCAGAAGCAGGAGGTGCATGGCGTGGAGTGGCGTGGTTGTGCGTGTCCAGGGGGCCATAACCACTCAGAGAATGATAACGGAGGCAAATGGGTTGACCGTGCTTGGAGGAAATCAGGAACCACAGGCCGTAAGCTCCTTGACCCCATAAGACGTGCTAGCCTGAAAGACCGTTACCCAGCCCGTAGCCTGGAAGACGTTGTCGTGCCCAACCAGAACCCCGCCATCGATTTTCCTTGACCCTTCCCGAGCATCCCCCATTCGACTCCTCTGCCCATTCCCCCCATCTCCCGAATCCTCCCGACCCCCTGCCTCCGACTCCTCTGCGCGTACCCCCCTCAAGCCCGACCATTAGTCCTACAACCCTAAATCTTCACCCATCCAAGCCTCAAAGGCCAAGACCCCTAGCTTTGCAAACTCTAAACCTGAACCTAAAAATTCGAACCTTCAGGGCCAAAATCTTATCTGAAATCCGCATCACATGAACTTAGTCTTAGCGTGAGCACAGCAGCCTCCAACCTTAAAATGGAACCCCAGTGACCGCAACAATTTTACCTCAAACACCCACGCTAGCCTCAAAAAACCATACTTACGCACCAAAAACCTTACTGCATAAGCCCAAAACCTTACTGCTGTGAAGGGTTAGCAAAAAGTTTTCAGGAAATCAGTCCACCAAATCCAAACCAACCCAACAAATTAAAACCCAAATTGGAATCCAACAGCAAGACTTCCAACCTTCAATGCAATATAGATTCTTCCAACAAACCCTAACCTGAAAACCCTCACCTTATGTGTTGGTGTATCCGGGTCTTGTCTGGACAAGCAACACCCTGTGGGTGCATCTTGCGGTTGTCCGGTCTCCATTTTGCAAGGGCGCAGATGACGGAAAAACCGGGGGCTCGCAAAGTGATGCAAAGTGATTGGGGTCGGCGCGATCTTGGCACATCGTGGGATTCAAGATTGGGATGAACGGAGTCCCCACAAACATGGCCGTCATGCCTCCAGCCGGGCATCTGTCACCGGAGCATGGGGTGGGGTTTTCTGAGTACGCCCTGGTGCAAGACTTGTGTGAAGGCTGTATGTTCTCATGCCCATGCTGGCAAAACAATCGCTTTTCCATGCCTTTTGATCCCAAAACCGTGAAAGTTTACCAGTGTCGAATGACATTTCTCAGGAGTTGGACACGCTCTTGAACGGCAGCATCTCCCGAAACATGCTTGGCACCCTGATTTTGCGTTCCGCAGGTTTACGACTAGCTCTTTCAGCCCTGATGTCCTGGTGAACCTGCCTGAGGTCCATCTATCTGAAAGATCAAGTGAGGGAAGAGTTTGAAAAGTTCCAGGCACTTCATTTTTCAAACTGCATGAGGTGTCATGTTCTGCTATCCAAGGCCACAATCTTTCAGAAGTTCCCGGACAAGTTCCCTTCGGATGCATTCACCCATGAGAATTATGTTTGGGCCTCAGCATGCAAGAACAAGCAGGGAAAGTATGCGTCCGAGGGCAGCAGGAGAGCGTAAGAGCCATCCGGGCCAATATGTGGACTTAATGTCTCTTGGTGTTGTTTGAAAATATATCATGCCGGCTCTGCTGGGAAAAGCTCCGCTATAAGTTTTGCCCGAACCGCGAGTGTACAGGATTTTTTTTCTGGATCCAAGCTGTCTTGTTTTCCTTCGTGGTCTACCACACGGTATTGCAAGCACTCAAGCTTTCTGCTGACCTTTCAAATTGACAGCAGGATGGTTTGACATGTTTGTGGGATCCTCCAGGCTTCAATGTCAAATTCTAATTGAAGTGTTTCATTGCATCAAGCGGTTTGGGGCACAAAGCCTCCGTGTGTGGATCTCAATGTTCCATCCCTCTCAATATTCAAGTGGTTGTGTAGAGGTCGGGGAATGAGTTTTCTGCAAGCACGTTGAATCTTGGATTTTCCTGGATGTAACATACGCTGCAGTGAGCGTGAAGCCTTTCACGGCATCGAGCTGCGATGGACATCTAGGTTTCGTTTGGGGAAGGACACTTTTGGTATTGGATGGAACAGGGCCAGATCAGGTCGTGCTAGACACGTTCTAGACTTTGCCGGGCGGGGGTGAGCTGTGCTGGATTGCTGGTGTTTTTCCAGTGTTCGCCTTCAGACAGATTTAAGTGCCTGACTCCCATACTTCTTGTGTTTGCATGGCACGGAGCAGGATGTCCAGAATGAGTTGGAGCCATCGTAGTCTGCGAGCAGCTTTTTGGATCCTTCGCAAGTGTGTTGCTGCTGCACACAAGATACTGATACTACTTAAACGCAATATTTTCTGCATTTCGTGCTCTGCCCGCTATCAGAACCTCATGACACATTTCCCAACCTTTCCAACTAGGCGCCAATGCAGTGGCACAAGTGGAAAGAGTTTGAGGGGAAAGCCATCGTGCTTCGCGATCTATGAAGTGTCGCAACTGCAGGTGTGGGCCTATGCGGTTCTGTTTAGCCGAGCAGTTCGTCTTGACTTTCCTGTCGCTTGGCAGAGCTCTAGACTGCAGCATCCTAGCGTTGGAGCAGTGTTGCTGATAACCCGAAATGGTGAGGACGGACCCGACGAGGAGGACATGGTAGCATTGGTTCCCTACATCGATCTCATCAATCACAACCCGAATTCTGAATCCAGAATACGAGGGGTACGAAGCACAGATAGAAAGATAGGGCTTGGTGCATTGCCTGAGTTGCCTGGCTGACGTGGAGTATGCAAGGTCAGTGAAGGTGCCGATGTCCCTGGGATATCTTCCACCGAGAGATATGTGGTCGTGAGATCTGATAGGCCAGGTCACCCCAAAGCTCTATGAGTCCATGAGCTTATCTTCAGTGACACCAAGTTTGCGGTAGGCAGCCGCAAAAATCATAAGGCATCGACAAAAAGTTAATCATCAAACAGAAATGTGCAAGGCATCAATTCACAGAGCCGTAATCCCTTTCCTGGCTCCGTGGCCTCCAGGTTTTGGCTTTTTTATGCTCCTCGGCTTGAAAATTGTTGTGCTATTCCAATTATTATGATTACTATCCTTACTATTATTATTAGTATTGTTGCAATTCCTCCTGCTAACGCCACCACCACAACAACGACGACGATGACGGCGACAACAACCACGAGTATTACGACGACTACTACTACCTACCACTTCTAATAGTCCCTAAGAAGTACTGGACATGTTATTGTTGTTATCGTCATTGCTACTAGTCGCAGTACTCTACATTTGTTATCGTAAGCATTGACGGATTTTGATCCTACTGGGGTTATAGCGTAAAGGTGCCAGCTTCAAGCTGACCATGTTTCGCGAAAGCTCGCTAGGCAATGACCCATTGCTGCGTCATGAATGACTGAAAATGGGTAGTAAAATCGAAGCATGCGATCGTTGCGCTGGCTCAGAAGTCTAGCTGTTGTAGTGAGGGTTGATGTCTCCAGAGTTTTTGGAGGGCCTTCGCTTTTTGCACGCAGGCGCTATTGCGAACTTGTGTGGCCTGGGGTGCCTACTGTGCTGTGCTCAACCCACAGTTGGTTTTGTGCTTGCGACCTTTTTGATTGGTCTAATCTCCGGCTTTGGGATTGGTATCTAGACTGCTTATTTTGTGCTGACAAAGTTTTACAATCTGGAATAGCCGCACCGAACTGAGCGAGGAGCTGCGCCTGCGACAATCCCACGAGGCCGTCTGCGTCTTGAGGGTTACCGTGCATGAGCGACAAGGGCTCAGACGTTTGGGACTTGACTCTTCGCATCCAGGGCTTGTCTGTTAGTCTTAGTGGGTCCACCAATAAGGGGGTTGCTGCTAGGCCTCAGCCCGAGGCAGAGAGTGGAGCCGTTTCCCCTTCTGCATTGTCATCAGCCTTTTCAGTCGTGTCTGACCCGACCCGTGCCCCGAGCATCCCCATGTCAGAGCCGGAGTCTGCTTCAGCCGCTCCAGCTTCGCCCCCTCGCCGCCCCTCAGTTTCGTCTGTGCCAGAGTACCCCTTGCAAGGCTCCAGCCAAAGCCCGGGGTTCGAAGCAAGGCAGCGTCTCGCCTTAAGCTTTCCGTCCATCCCTGACAGTTGCGTGGCTTTGTGCCGGGGCCTTACCGTCTATGAGCTCGGCCCCGCAAATCGTGCAGAGCAGAGCGTGCCTGGATTGTGGGCTGCTGGGCCGGCGCGGTTTTTAGGGGTGAGGTAAATAGACCCGACCCTACTGCCTCCCCAAGCCAACAGAGCCGTTTCTACTGTGAGCCAATTTGTTTTGGATTGTTTCTCCATGCGCCAGTTTCTGTGATTGGGGCTTGCAGAATGGAGGGACGAGGACGTTCGCGTCTTGGGCCCTGTCGACGAGGAGGGCTTCTACCGCCGCAAGACTCGTTTGGTTTTCCCAAAGAACGAGGCAACGGTTGCGGCTTTCTCCAGACGGTGTCCAGGCACCGGCGGCGCCCATCGCCGCGTGGCGTTGAAAGGCTCTCGCCCTGGCCAAAAGGCCACTCGCTGCACGGAGGCCGGGGTGTATGCCAAGGATTTCGTCCGTGAGACCGTGCAGCAGGTTGTGAGATGCGGGGGGGAGGACGTTCGCCAGCATCCGGAGCAGCCTTCACGACACAGGTTACCGAGGACGGCGCGAGGACATACGGGCCGGAAGCTTAGAACGTCGTCGAGGAAGGTGGCCAACGCATGAAGGGTGGCTCAACGAGATGGAGGAGGACGAGCAGGACTTATTCGGCAACATCCCGGTGCACTCTACGGTGCGATGGAGGACACGAGAGCGGGTAGCGCCCAAGGTGTTGTGTGCCAGGCTCCGATGGAGGCCAAGCAGGCGGCTGAGAAGTACATAGAGCGGGCCAGGGCCAGCAATGTGGGCGCGCCAAAAACTTGGCAGTCCGTTTGCCAGTGTGGAGGGCAGCTTGTGGCGATAGCCGGATCCGTCACCAAGGCAGCGGAGTCGTTGTGGGAGGTGCGGGAGGAGAAGGGTTTGAACAATTTAAAGGATGTGGAGGACAAGTACCTCGATACTCCTTGCCTATGTCAGGGATGTATGTCGTCGGGGCTTAGCTGCGCGGAGTGTGGGGGATCGAAAGCGCACCAGAGCCAAGGTTCACCCAAATGGACGCCGCAACCTCTCACAGGTCTTCAAGCAGATCTGGAACGACGTGTGCCGCCTTCGAGTCCTTGTCGTACCAGCGGATGCCGAACTTGGCCCTGTGGCCTCCAGCCCTTTCGACGCGGTGGACAAGATGCTGCCAGACAGGTCAATTACCCCCGACAAGTGCGTTGTATCAACGCAACCGCGGACAAGGAATGGCATCCCCCTGCGATCCAGCCGAAGCACGAGCAGATTGCACGTTTGGTTTTGAAAGCTAAGGCCAAGTTGCCAGGCGTTGCGGTGCTCATGAGCAAGAAGGATGTGGCAGGGGCTTTCCGTTTCCTGTGGGTGGATCCTCAGGACGTCGAGCTGTTTGCGGGAGACCTGCCGTGGGCTCCGGAGACTTTGTGGACGGTACGGACATGACGGCTGTCTACCTCGTGAGCTCGTTTGGGTTTGCCGGTTCCCCGGGCGAATGGACGGTGTGGGGCCAAGCCACGGAAATGTTTCTGAGAGCGCACTGCCCAGCCATCCCGCGTCGGGATCTTTCGTGGAACTTTGAGAGCCGCGTCCTGGTCGCCTGGTCGACGACAATGTGGTGGTTGAGCCGTGGATTGGTTTGCGGATGGGTGGCGGCTGAGGTCTACGAGGCAGGCGTGCAGAAGTTGTTGGGCAAGGCGGCAGTCAAGCGTGAAAAAGACCTCATCGAGGGACCGTTTCGCGCGTTCCAAACCGTGTGGGGACTAGATATCGAGACGAGCGCCGAAGAGGTGCGCCTGCCTGAGAGACGGATCCTGAAAGGCACGTCCCTTTTGGCCGAGCCCTGCTTTGAGTACTGTTGCAAAGACCTTACGCTTCGAACTGTGCAGAGATTCCGTTGGATCACGACAGGCTGGGTTGTCATCGTGAAGGGCTCGCGCAATGAGCTCAAGGCGGCGGATCGGTTCCTCGGCGCGGAGCAGGGCGCCGGCCGAAAGTGCAGCGCGAGCGTGACGAGGAGGAGATCGATGAGGCCTAGCGCGACCTTTAGGAACTGTTCGAAGCTACGAGGTGGCTGTGCTCGAGGCCGGAGACTTGGCCGCAAAAGTTCGGGGCAGGCATGAAGGAGTTGTTGCCAAGTCCGGGAGCGGCTAGCACTGAGAGGCGAGTGGAGCAGCGGGACCGTTTTGTGTCCTCGGACGCGACGAAGCAGATGATCGGGGCGATCGACTGGACGAATGGCGTTGTCATGCGCGTGGAGGCGAAGACGGCGGCAGTATGTGGGTCCATCGGTGCGGCGAGGACGAGGACGTGGCGATCCATGTTGCGGAGATGCTTTCCTTTCTCGCTTTTGCGTGCCGAGTTGGCAAGCCATGGACTGGATGCGTGGTCCTGTACGGCGGAGACAACCAGGTTGTACGAGAGTGGATCACGGGCCGAAAGGCGGGCGCTAAGGTGGGCCGTTTGCTTGTGCGCATTGTCAACATGCTGGAAATGAGGTACCGGTTCACATTGATAGCATCGTGGTGGAGAACCTATCATAATGTGCATGCTGATTACCTGACCCGCTGCAACGACCAGGAGTTTCAGGAGATCGTCCGCCAGTACAGTTGGGAGGTTGTGGATGTTGAGGGTGCCCTCAAGCAGGCGCTGTGCGATTCCAAGAGGTTTGGACCATGTTGTTAGCCTGGGAGACTGAGGACCGGGGTGTGCTGATGTGCCTCAAGGAGCGTCGACTACATCGGGCGCTCTCAGACCGGTGTGGAACGGCATCAAGGTTGTCGCGAACTTTGCGCGCCAACGAGGCAAGTCAGGGACTTCTTGGGTGCGGCGATCGCGGCGGGCGGCGATGGACGCCTCCGTGGAGAGGTCCAGTGGCGAGATCGTCGTGGCTTCATTTCCCCCCGACAACTTCGGCAAGGCCATGTTTCATGCGGTCGGCGCGGCCATTGCAGGCGAGGCAGCGCTTGTGGTCTGTGAGGGCCCGTGCGGTTTGCCATGGGAGAACATTGAGGGCGAGTTCCGGCAGCGCGACTGGAATGTCACAGTGGACGAGTTCTTGACTACGGAGTTCGGCGAGATGGCGGTTCGGAGGCGAAAATGCTTGGTCGCATCCCCGGACATCAGGGTGGATGGCACGTTGGCAACTACGACTTCGAGGAGCACGTTGGCGCCTCCGATTGGGGCGACGTTGGGCCATAACCGTGAGATGTGCAAAGATGTTTGGGTGTTCCCAGAGCAAGTGGTCATGGACTCGGGTATCCCAAAAAATCCACTCATGCCCATCCTTGAGCGTTGGGAGCTGTTCGGCGACTCGCCGCGGAGGAGGTGTGGGCATGCCAGGGCAGGTCCGAGGAGCAGTGGAATCGTTTGGTGAACGAGGGCATGGACGCGAACTCCATATTGGTCGAAGGGAACCAAGCGACTGGAGGGCACACGGCCCAAGCCCTAACTCTGACGGCGGGTTATTTGGTCTCGAAGGATGGTGGACGTGCCGGAGGAGGTGATCCCGTGCCTGAGCGGGCGAAGGTTGGTTTGGTTTTGGGGCGAAGCGATGTGGGCACGCGCTTCCGATGACGACAGCACGGGCGAGACTCGAGCGGGCGGCAGAAGGGCAAGGACTTCAACGAGTGCCGATGTGGTTCGTGGCGAGGCAGGGCATTGGGGAGGTGAAGTGGGTGACGTAGGTCCACGTGTCGTCGATGAGTGGGTTGAGGAGAACCTCTGTGGGTACTTGGCGCCGAGCGCGACGAAGCAGTACTCCGGCGTCTACGGCAAGTGGAAAGCGTGGGCTCGCCGGCAAATTTGGGACACTGAGTTCCTCAACAAGGCGGAGAGGGTTGAGGGCAACAAGGACTGGCTGCTGGGCTTCCTTGGCTACCTTGGGTGGTTGGGAGCATCAGTGGCCACCATCAAGCAGGCCATTTTCGCCATCAAGGATGCCCATAAGCGATGTGGACATGGCGACCCGACGGAGCACATGGCAGCGCCCTTTTGACAGCCTGGTTCTTCATGCTCCGTGCCAAGGAATACTGCGACTGCAATGGAGTGGACTATGGCATGATCCTTCGTGGCACCGACCTCAAGTTTGTGGAGGAGAACGGCGTCCCAGCCGGCGTCGCCTTGCAGTTTCGCAAAACCAAGACGGACCAGGATGCCTTTCATACGTGCAAAACCATGTATCGTTCAGGTGTGCCCGGCATCTGTGTGGTTTCAGCTTTCCTCGAGTTCCGCGACTTCGCCCCTCAGAGATTTGGTCAAGGCTGTGAAGCTCTTCGCCCTTTGTTTCGCTGGGGCAGTGGTCAGGTTTTGAAACGGACTCAGGTCCAGAGCATCCTGCAGCAGGCCGCGGCAGCCGTGGGCTTGCCGCCAGCGAGGTTTCTGTCCCATTCGTTGCGGATTGGAGGTGCCTCAGCGATGTTCCAGGCCACCGGGGAGATCGAGTTGGTCAAGAGGACAAGGCGCTGGTATTCAAGTGCGGTTCAGAGGTACTTGCACTATGGCGAGGTGGCCTTGAAGAATGTTGCGCAAAAGATGGCCAGTGTTGAGCAGAAGATTCACTACACGTGAATGAAATTTTGTTTGGGGCGCAGGGATGCAGAGCATCCACAGGCAGCTCGACTTTGGGGCGCAAGGACCGCAAAAATGAGTGTGGTCGAGCGTCTTAAGTGCACCAAAATGTAAAGTTAGCCATAACTTGAGCTTTTGTGGACCATGTCCAGGGCCATACGGCTAGCTGTGAGCAGTGAGCCCACCCCCCAACCTGGGGGCGCAGGGATGCAGAGCATCCACAGGCA